GAATTTGTTACCCATGCCATCATTTTTCTACCAAGAGGAAAGAAAAATACTCTAACATCAGTTGTCTGGAATCAATATTGGTAATTGTATCTTGTTTCTGTTTTTTTGTAGCGTTGTCTTCACTTAATGTACGTCAATTATTCTTCTAGTTTTACTCTCCTGGCTTTACGTCATTTTATAGAATTGTTCCCATGTTTCTCTGAATTCTTCATATTTTTATTCACAGCACAATAGTATTTGATGAAATTAATATACCACAGTTTATTCAGCCATTTCCCAGTCAATGGGCACCAATATTTTGATTCTAGTTTTTAACTACTATTAAAAGAGGACAATATATTTTCATCATGAAAAAATTTTAAATGCTGTCTGAGAGAACTAAATGCTATTTAAAAAAAATAAAATGCCATCAATTTACCCCAACTCTTCTACTTAAAAAAGCTTAATTTATCTAAAAAATATCATATAAACACTCAAGCTACCTCTCCCCCCCCAAAATCCCCCCACAACATTCAGAAAGATCCAGGAACTTAAAGAAGAAAGGGGATTAACCTGAAAGTATATCACCTTCTTCTCCTGTTCTGCTGAAATTCTTTTTTAAACTTGGTAATTCATTATAAGAAGGATGAATATCTGCTCTCTTTTATCTTCAGGTCTTTCAGATTGGTAATGTGATGACTAAAATATATGTCATGTATAGCCACCAGTGTTTAAAAAATTAATCCAAACTTGTCACACTTATAAAGTTAAAAACTTTGTTAGTCCTTTGATTGTTGTGCTCATTACCTCCAAGAATTTGAATTTTCATTGTCATTAGCTTGGTAAATTCAAACTTTTATTTCCTTTATTGAAAGTCCAGTACAGTTTCATTTAAAAATGACAATAAATGATCCCTTTAAATGCACAATAACTGATTTATCTAAGCCTTTACAAGTTTAGGACATTTTAACTTTAATTTAACTATTCTTTAGGAGATAAAGTATTGGTAGTTTTACACATTTATTAGACCTCAAAATTCAAATTGACGCTGTTTAATTGATATTACCATCTGTTGCTTTTGCTTTCAAAGGTAACATTTAAAGAGAAGATATATACCTGCCTGCTCCAAGTGCATAAATTTCCCATCAATACTATATATCAAATATATAGTATATGTTTACTTTAAAGATATATAATATACATTGACTTTGTTCTTTGTACATTTTCTGAAGTAAAAATTCTTTAAAAATCCTGTTTTTAAAATATGTTATCCATGTTGGAGGTGAGATGAAACTATTTATGATTGTGATTAAGACATAACTGTTGCTTTTATAAAAAGCATCTGAGTGCCTATTTAAATTTGTAAAAAGTATCTAGTTTGTACCTAACAGTATGTTAAACATTATGGAAAAGGGGGAGGGATGAGGTAGACCAAAGAAATAGTAGAAAAATTATCCACACATGAATGAATGAGGACTGTTGTGAAGAAAGTACTTTGTCAACTGTAAAGCACTAAAATGAATAAGCTTTTTTAAATACTGAAGAGATGTATGATAAAAGAGTAATCACAGTAGAATGTTTTTAAATGAATGTGGTTTCCTGGACAGATCTTATTGACATTTTTGTTTGTTTTCTGTCAGTCTATAAAAGTATCTCAGAATCAGTTGTCTAGAATCTATCAAGAACATCTGGTGATCCATCTATTCAGAGTGTCTTATTAGGTGCTATGAGTGTGTATTTGTATCCATATATATGTGTATGTGTGTATGTATAGATATCTATAGGTTTAAATATTTATACAGACATGTGTGCATACATATATAAATGCACAGTTCCTTTCCTCAGATGTCTTATTTGAAATAAAATACTATCAGTTCTGTTTCCTTTAGGCCTTTTCTCTGCTTTGGTTATTCAGGTTCACTTTTGCCCCCAAAGAAATTAGATTCCTACCCCAAATTACCACAGATTTTCTCTTAATAATTTCAGGGTAGAATGAACAATATGAAGAGTGCATTCATGAAAGCATTAATTGAATAAAACTTTCATTCATATTTAAATCAGATGCTTTGTTAAATGTAATTTTATATGAAAGGAACAATATAGTTCTCTCTGAAATGAATAATATTTGATTTATTTTCATTTTTTGCTATCAAGACCAGAAGATGTTTGTTTAGAGATTTCATGTAAACGAAAACCTAGAAATCCAGGGAAATCTTTTCTTACTGTTTTGAAGCCTTTGTGATAAAGCAATTAATAAATGCTTCATATTTAAGTATTTCAAGGATTCATTATTTCATCAATGTAAGCATTCTCTTTTACCAATAAAGACTGAACCCCTTGCTACTTTATCGTCTTTGTGAGTTGTTATTACTAGAAAATCCCATGACCTGGTGGCCAACCTTTTGGTAACAGACCTTTCTGATCATAGTTAGACTAGCCTTTTGCCGAGTAATTAGTCTTTCCAGCTGTGGTCAATTGATATAGTCTTTAAGGACCCAGAATAACATCTACATCATAATGAGGCATGTAAAAAATATATGACTAATTGGAAATGATTGTCTTCCTGCTTCATTCATGTTCTGATTATTATTACAGGTTCTTGATGTTTTATTCTTCAAGATACGCTGTCTCTGCATATCCACTTCTCTAGGTATTCTTTTCATGCCAGTTTTTTCTTTCTCCTCCATGAGAGTATTGTATCTAGGGGCTTCTTCTGTTTCTGCTTTGCAGTTAGCAGGGAAAGCTTTTTGTTTGTTTGTTTTTTTTTATTTTCACCTTTGAGGCCAGGCCTTAACTTGTTCAAAATAAGTGGCAGGCTTAAAATGAACAAATTTGCTGTGTCTAGTGGTTGGAGTAAGTTAGGTTGTTGGTTTGAAGTGGGAAAGGAGACAAAGGAGTGGTCTTTTGATCAAATGATTAGTACTTTTTCAGTGTCCTCTTTTTATTTCCTCTGCTGTTTGCAGGATTTTCTCAGAATTCCAGTACTTTACAAGAGATAAACTCCTAAGAGAGAAAGGGGAAAACCTTGATATTAGCCACACCACCTTAGGCTGATGAAAGCACCTTTGGTGAAATCCTGAAATATTCTGTGGATTGCTAATGGCTATCTTCTAAATTTGTTTTAAATTAAAACCCATTTTACTTTTAGTTCACAAAATTAGAGAATTTTAGAGATTGGAGAGACTTAAATAGCATTTAATCCAACCTGTAGCTGAAAATGTACCCATCAAGGAGTACAGCTTCTTCTTGAAGAACTCTAGTGAGAGGGAGCTACCTCTCAAGGCAGTCCAGTCTACTTTTTGAAACTCTAATTTCCTAAGAAGTTTTTGACATAAAACCAGAATTTGCCTTTTTGCATCTTGTGTTCCGAGTTCTGGCCTTCTCCATAACAGCTCTGCAGTTACTTCAATATATTTATCATGTTTCCCCTGAGACTTCTCCTAGGTCAAACATCCCCAGTTACTTTAGTTAATATTAGTATGGCATGGTGCCAAGACATTTCACCATCTTTATTGCTCTTTGGATTCTCTCTCACTTAGCAAGGTCCTTCTAGAATGGAAATATAGTGTGACATAGTTTGCCAAAGGTTGTCTTCCCAGGTAACAGCAAGACTGTCACCTTCTTATTCTTAGAAGTTATGGAAGCAGCTAGGTGGCACAGTGGATAGAGAACCGGCCCTGAAGTCAAGAGGACCTGAGTTCAAATTGGGCCTCTGACCAAACACTTGACACTTAATAGCTGTTTGACCCTGGGCAAGTCACTTAACCCCAACTGCCTTAAAAAAAAAAAGTTACGCCTCTTTCAATGCGACTCAAGATTGTATGTCTTTTGTCTAATCATATCACTGACTCATATTGTGCTTGGGGGGTCTACTAAAACACAGAAATCTCCTTCTGACAAACTACTGTCTAACCAAACCTCCTCATATTGTTCTTTGAAATTAATTTTTTGAAACCAAGGACCTACATTTATCCCTATTAACATTTTATCTTACCATCTTCTGTCCAATCATCTAGCCTGTCAAGAATTTTTTGAATCTTGTGTCATCCTCTGTGTTAGCCATCTGTCCCAGTTTTATGGCATCTGCCTGCAATATGATAAGCATACTTTTATTCAAATAATAGAAACTAGTAACCTGCCATGTTGACACTAATGACTTCTCTTTTGAGGCTGGTTGAAAGCCTAATTGTATTATCATCTAGCCTTCATCTTTCCATCTTTTCCATAAGAATATTATGAGACACTTTGTTAAATGCTTTGCTAAAATCTAAGTGGCCTCTGTGTATACAGTATTCTCCTGGACTACCAGTTTAGTATCCCTGACCAAAAGTAAAGGAAAAAAGTTAGTGTGTGCTAGCCTATTCTTGTTGAATCCACGTTGACTATGATCTCTGCTCTTCTCCCTTTTAAAAAAAATAATCACTAAGTATTTTTTCAGTAATACATTCTAGAATTATTCCAGGATTGAAAACCAATTTATAGAATTAGGATTATTTCCTGTCTTTTAAGCAATTTATGTTGGTTCCTTTTTTGGTTTAAATGAAGAACATTTTTCTCTACTGTCATTGTACTACTACAGTGAACAGTGGGGGAAAGTTCATGAGCTAGTTATTTAGGATGAAACTATTCTGAATGGAACACTCTAAACATAATGAGGGTTTGAGGGAAGTAAAGCAAATAATTTTCAAGTGAAATTTGGAATAGGGAGGAACAATAGGAAATGGTTAAATACTGAATATTTAGAAAATTTTTGAAATTTGTAAAGTATATGTGCTTATGTATCTTACATACCTTCTTCCACTCCCCTTGTTAACTTGGGCTCCACCAAAACCACGTATTTTGGCAAGGGCTGAAGCTGAGAGGACATATTACCTTTTTTTTTTTTAATCATAATGTTTGTACAGGCATACTGAAAATTAGTTTTTGTTATATTTTTGTTAATTTAAGACAGTCATGTTATCTGGGTATCTCCTATTAGTTTTCTTAAAATAAATAATGGAAATAAAAATGTGGATATAATACTATTTGTAATTTGAAATATCTTTAGTTGTGTGTTTTCAGGTTTGGCTTGGAGAGACTTCAATTTGATCTACCTTGACCACATATCAAATTATTTCAGTGGAATTTTTAAAAGATAGCAACTTATTGACAATAGCCTCTATCCCCAGTCACAAATGATAAATCTTTCTCAATAACCAACCAGAAGGCACATGAAAGAAGAAATATTTTTAATGACAAAATTTAATTTCACTTGCATGTTTTTTCTTCGCTATTGTGATCAGTGTTATTCTTGTAATATTAATGCAATATTTTTAGCTCTTTTTGTCATGGCTTTTAGCTTTCATGCTTCTTAAAAATACTGTAGTTATTTATCTTAAACTTCATAAATTTCTACTTCTTTTAATGACCAAAATTTTGAGTAAAATTCAAGACTATATTTTATATGTATAAATATTGCACAATAGAATACTATTGGTTTTCATTTTTTTGAGCTGTATCTAACCTTTAATGTTAACTTTTAGATAGAAGGGAGTGAGGTTAAAAATCTTAACACCTAAATACCCAATGTAAATTAAATTCTGCATATTCTGTAGTTCATTAACTGAATATGTCAGAAGTTACATTGTAAAGTCAGACTTCAGATGAATTTTAAAATACTTTAGGTATTATGTCAAAAAAAACTTTATTAATGGTTGACTTTAAGGTTTATTTACCTGTTACCAAATATGATACATCCTTTTGATTTTTGATTCATATTTATACGATGTCATTCTTGCAAGCATCTTTCATTAAGGAATATGGTAATGATTATGTGGTTTGCAGTTTGGTTTTCCATTCTTTGTTATGTCCTTTTGCTTATGTAACAAATACATATTTTAAAAATCTTTTAACAACTTGGCTAGTGTTGTGAAAAATAAGACTGTCCTTATCTACCATAGAAATACTCCAGTGTACTTCATTAATGCAAAGGGCACCCTAACAGAACACGTCTAGAAGCATCTTCATTTTCTCAGTAAAGCTTTTTGTTTAGATGTTAAAAATGTATCTGTTGAATTCATAACTTGTTCATCAGCTTTTTACTGGATCATTTATACGTATTTGGTAAACGTAAATAACCTTAGTGGGTCGGTATGTAAGCATTTAAATCTCTTAAAAGAGAATTTTGAACTATATATGAGCACAAACGTGGCATTCTTTTGTATTCTAAATGCAATAGTCACATGGTTGTTTTTAGCTAAAGATTTTAGATGCCATGTTTGCTTTTTTCTCAATGAAAGCAGATGATATATTTGATAAACATTATGAGGATGTTCTTTTACTTCTCTAATTATAATTAGATATTATGTAAATTAAATATTTAAATAATGTTTGTCCAATATAATTCATCATTTCTGTTGCCACCACAACAGAAAGACAAAATAACACCCTCGTTTAAAATTTACTTTGAAGCTCAGTGTTTTTACTTTCTTAGTTGTCTACCACCTCCCTCCCTTCTCCCTCCCTTTGTTCAAATGGAGAGGATATAAGGAGAGTACAGATGCTGCATGTCTTAAACGAAAGCGTTCCCAAGGTACAGTAATTGTAGTTTGTTTTTTTCTCCATGTAGTTATATTCCTGGCTTTTGGCATTCAGTTGTTTGTTTTGGTAAAGTATTCTGAAAGATTTGTTCATCTGCTTTTTAGGCAAGTAATGTGTGTTTAAATTCTTAGGAATTAGTAGGTATCCTTGTGTCCTTTATGCTTTTTTAAGCTATAGTTAATTAGCTGTAGAAATATTCATACATTTGTAAATAAGATGTATGCGAGCCAGTAAGGATTGAAGTTATTGAGACATTTGGGTCAAAGCCACCTAAAGAGAAGCCAATTTTCATCATCTGCCTTGCAGTGCTAAACATACTATTCTTGCATTTTCAATATTGTAAGTATCAAAATATTTGCTACTAGAGATGTTTTATGGGAAGATTTAGGTTGGGTTAGAAAATAATTTATGTTTATCATTTGTTAAATCATTTTCTAAATGATTTCAGTACAAAATTTTTAGAACAAAATACTGGAAAATTTTCCTTTATATATACAAGAGTTTTTCTGCCTATCCTTTCCTTACAAATAAAAATATTACTAACACAATTGATTACATGAATTTAAACTTTGTCTTATGCACATTGTTAATAGCACTGTAAGGCAAATGGAAGAAATTGACTTCCACATATGAATGATTTTTTAAAATTCCATTTGTAACAGTCATACCTAAGGATCATGTGCTTTCCCAAGAGTTCTGTGGGAATGTGACATACTAAAGAAAGGCTTTTATGGTTGCAAATATTGACTAGGTGTATCTTCAAAGTTATATAATGGACTGGAAGTCAGCTTTAAATCCATAATTCCTTTCTTGGGGGGGGTTGTTTTTGTTTGTTTGTTTGTTTGTTTGTTTTGGAGACTGGGTTTCCCCATCCTGCATAGGCTAAAAGGCATGTGCACTTTTACTAGTTCTGTTTTCAGTTTTGGCCAGTTTGCTCCTCCATAGGCTGGCCACTCTCCAAGTCTCGCCATGTTGATGCCAGACTTAGTGTAAATTGGTTTCAGCATACTGCAGCTCTAAACTTCTGAGCTCAATTCATCCGTCTGCTTCAATCTTCCCAGTGGCAGGGATTACAGTTGTGCACCACCATGCCTGGGCATGCATTTTTTTGTAGTGGAAATTCCGTTCATCAGACATTCAAGCTTAGCCCTACCACCAAAAAATTTAATTGAATTAAATTTTAAAATTGTGTGGCACATCATTTAACCTCTTTCTGCCTTTATTTCCTCCTATAAAATGGAGTTGATCTACTGCTTCACAAGATTTTGTGAGGAAAAAAATAGGGTAACCTAGATTAGTTATAAAGATCTCAAATACGTGGGCCTTGCTCTCCTTGGTTATCTGAAGTTTATTTAGTACGCAAATTTTTCTTACCAGCATGCCTAAGAATAAAAAAATCCTTTTTTTTTTTTTTTGAGTCCTTTAGAAGATAAGAACTGTAAAACTGCTAAGTAGTAGTATTGTTATAGTCAGTATCTAGAGTTACATGGCTTTGCTTTAGTGTTCATACCAAGCCCTGATGCGGTAAAATAAAGCAATATTTCTTGTAGTTTTCCCCCTATAACAAATAGGTAAATTTAAAAATCTTCATTCAATCCAAATCTAAATGTTTTTGATGGGAAAGAATTAACATCTGAATTAACAAATTAAACATCTAAAAATCAGTCTGCCAGAAAAAGTCGCTTTTTTGAGTACAGGATTATGCTGAATAAATAGTAAAAAGAACAAAATTTTTTTTTAATTTTACTTTTTTTTTTTTAAACTTACGTTTTTGGGAGGGGAATCAGACTGATAATTAGAGACCAATGAATCATTGGTACTAATCTCCAAGACTGATAATTACCTTGAAAAGGCATGTTGAATTATATTTTAATTATTTAACCACCTCCCAAATGGCATGAGTTTTCTTTAGGTTAGAGCACACACCATTCTAGCAGGAAAAAAGCTCCTAATTGTGTAGTTCCAATAGGCTAAAACTGTTTCTGAACCTCAGACTCAAATCATAACCTTGCTTTTTCTGGTTATTGTACCACGTTTTTTCCTTGTCCCATCTTTACTGTACCTACTAAGACAGTGGCTTAAATTATGAAAGAAATCAAAATCCAAGAATAAACAATAAAGGTCAAATTGTTGTGCCATTAACTTGAAATTTTTAAGGCCTAAGATGAGACAATAAAAATAAGATAGGAAGAAACATATACACTGCCTTTGGATTCCCTGAAGGTTAAGAATTTTATATTTACAAACACAGTTGAAGGGGTAAAATGCAGAAGCTGATCCTATTGTTCAACATATTAAATGATGGATCTGATATTTACCCATTCAGAGTATGAACTAATGGGACAAAATCATGAGTTTTATGAGTTTTTGATGATTTTCCATATAAATATAGTTCATCATAATAGCCTTAATTTAAAGGTTGCTCTTTTTTTCTTTGCAATAGCTATTCATAGTTTCAAGTTGAGTCGCAACCACGTGGACTGGCATAGTGTGGATGAGGTATATCTTTACAGTGATGCAACAACATCTAAAATTGCAAGAACTGTTACACAAAAGCTGGGTTTTTCTAAAGGTAATAGATCTTTTTTTCACTCAACAAATGGAGAATGTTGTTTTTCCCATTCTTAGAAAGTATTTAATGAAGAATTCACATTTTTCATTTATGACAGAGTGCTAATATTTATAATAATTGTTTTCACCCTGTTTTGTTTATTAGTGATTTAGCTGACCTATATTGTAACCTAATTTTAATATTTGAAGAAATGTAGCTGGACATTATAATAACTTTTATGCTTTTAAAAATAGTCAGAAGATGATTTTGTAGAGCTAAAAATACGTGGAAACTGTTGTTGGCAAAAACAAAAAATTAAATATTTTTGCAATGTGTTTAAGATTTACAGAGGTCATTTTCACAACAGTCCTTTGAAGTATGTAGTGTAAATATTATTATGCCATTTTTTGGGTGAAGAAACAGGTTCAGAGAAGTAAAAAAATCCTGAGCAAGTAGGTTGAATATGTGCATAGATTTTATACATGACTCAGGGTACCCAAACTTTAAAAATTAAACTTGTCCCTAACTGAAATTTTATTTGATTCCGGTTGCAGTTTTTGTTAAAATTTTCAAACATATGTGAAAAATGCCACCCATTATAGGTTAAAATATTGAACTTTAAAGAGTCATGACTTTTCTACAGCTTCAAGTAGTGGGACCAGACTCCATCGAGGCTATGTGGAAGAAGCTACCTTAGAAGACAAGCCCTCACAGACTACTCATATTGTTTTTGTTGTGCATGGCATTGGGCAGAAGATGGACCAAGGAAGAATAATAAAAAATACAGCCATGTGAGTTTTTATACATGTATTTCATAACTGCTGTGGTATTCTAAATCTATGTTAACAGAGAGTGTTTCTTCTTGTTGCAAGGTTCTTCAACACCAGTTATCATGAAAAACAGCTATCTTTGGTTCTTAAGGTGATGGAAGGCAGGGAGGGAGGGACTGTACTTTTATTCTGATTATTAAAGGTAAAACAAAGCCTAAGATGAAAATAGATTAAAAAAATCAAAGCATAGAGTGTGTTTTGCTGTTTAAACTGTTATAAATTGAGAAGGTAATGATTATCAAAACTTTTTTTTAATCACTAGTCAGTTGTATCTAATTAATTGGAATACTATAATAGAACTATAATCTCATTGATCTAATTATTTCCTCCATTTGTGTATATCAGAATCATGCCTTCTCATCCTGTTAGATTCTTGTTCTCCCTCCCATAGATCCTTCATACAGGATCCACCCAATGTTTTGGAGTCTTTCCTTCCTCTTAAAGTCTTTTTATATTTCTTGGTACCAGTTTAGCCCTCTGGCTGTCCATATGGTATCCTTCTCTCTTGACCTTTTCTATTCATACATTATCTTCTATCCCTTATGCTACTTCTTGCACATTGGTCATTGTTGGATTTATGTTGTACCCAACTTTGTCCTGTGTCTTACCCTTCCTCTCAAATGTCAATTCTGGTGATGGTGGCTGCTTGCCAGTATCCTAGGAAGAATGTGTGATGTTATGTTGTTGTGAAAAAAAAATTTTTAAAGTATATTTTTAACAATGCCAGAATTAATGTCTTAAATAAAAATTATATTTATGCCTTTTGCATAATTTTATTATGAAGGAGGAGAGGAAGCATATATTGAATTCTAATCAAGTCTTTATATACTACACTCATGCCACAAATTATTTCATTTTAGAGATTTTAAAGATGTGATTGTGTGTAGTAGTGAATGAATTTTGTATGAGTATTCCAAAGGGCTATACATTTTGCCATAGTATCTTTATGGGAGCATTGACGTCCAACTCCTATTGGTGTTCCACTGAAACTTTCCTCAAGAAGGCAACTAAAGTTTTGGGGATGAAAGTCAAGTTCTTGTCTTGCCTAGACACCAACTCCATGCCTCCTTAAAGTTTTGGCCTTGGTTTAGCTATTAAGAACTTTGACTTTTATTAGGGAAGTTTTGAATAGATGTATTTTTGTTGTGTAATATAGCATACTGTTTATGTGTTGGAAGAGTTTTTTGAATGTTTTATGTTGAGAGCATATGGACAAATGAATAGGACTTGAAATTTTACCCCTAAAATCTAATCTATTGTCTCTTTTATATTAATATTATAATCTGTTTTGTTCACTGATTTTTATCTGAAATGAGATTTGAATTTTAGAGCATTAATGGACTTTTGAAATCATCTAGTCTACTCTTTTCAGTTTTGGAGATGGAACTGAGGCCCAGAGAGGTTAAGTAATTTGTCCAGGATAATAGAATTTAGAGCTGGAAAGAACCTTAAAGATCATCTTATCTGAGTCCTCCTCATTTTTTTTTCTTTTTTGGTGAGGTAGTTGGGGTTCAATGACTTGCCCAAGGTCACGCAGCTAGTGAGTGTCAAGTGTCGGAGGCCAGATTTGAACTCAGGTCCTCCTGACTCCAAAGCCAGAGCTCTATCCACTGTGCCACCTAGCTGCCCTGACCCTTCTCGACTTTGAGATGCAGAAAAATTAAATTACTTGGCTAGACTTTTCTAGCTAATTTCGACTGAGCTGGGGCTAGAATTTAGGTCTTCTCACTCTTAGTGCAGGGTGCGTATTTATTTCTGACCATGATTTTTATTTTTGTATCCTTATGTCTGAAAATAATTTCTGCATTATCCCAATATATATTATTCACAAGATAATTACCTGAATGATGATAGTCCCTCTAATAAAATTCTGAGTTTAAGGTTAATTAGTAGGTATTATATTGAATTATATATGTTTTTGTTCAGTTTTCAGTTTTGTCGAACTCTTTGTGACCCCATTTGAGGTTTTCTTGACAAAGATACTGGAATGGTTTGCCATTTCCTTCTCCAGCTCATTTTACAGATGAGGAAACTGAGGCAAATAGGGATTAAAGTGACTTGCCTAGGGTCACACAGCTAATAAGTGTCTGAAGCCAGATTTGAACCCAGGAAGATGAATCTTCCAGACTTCAGGCTCGATTATATATGAGCTTTCCACAAAATCAAAGAATAAACAGTCTTTCTCTCTGGTTTAAACTCTAGGAACTTAAAACTAAGTAAGTATAAATAAGATAGTATACTGAGTATAAATAAGATAGTAATATTTTATTGCCTTAAATAAAAGGAAATTTTACTTGTGGGTGTTGAAGATCAATTATGATTTTTAAAAATACAAATTAGACAAATTCTTGCTTTTAGTAACTTCCCTTTCATTATAATTAAGTATTGCTTGCTGTTTATACTCAGTGTTATATAACATTTGTTCTTACTGTAATTGTCCCAAGTGGTATTTACTTTTATTGTTTAGAACAAAGTGTTAAAAACTTAATATGTAGCTGTATACTTTGTCAAACTCTGGTTTGACAAGTTGTTAAGTCAAGGTGATAAAGAAGTATTTCTGTGTCTGGGTGACTTGATTTGAACAATGAGATGGGTAAAAATATGCAAACGGAATGAAGCAACAGAGCTAATATCTATATATTAGGTTCATTCTACTAAATGTTATGAAAGATAAGCAGAGAAAAATGTTTCCTTTTACCTTTAAACTGTCACATATATAACACTGAATGTTTAAGTTAACTGCTCACCCAGCCAATGTGTATATATCAGTCACATTCTTAAAGAAAAGATTTAATCTTTGGCCTTTAACAAAAATTGTGGTATTTTGGTCTTTACAAATAAAAAGTTACAGCTGAAATGAGTTTGAATACCAGCTGGAGTCTATTCTGAAGTAGTCTAATTTATTCATAGTACCTCAATAAGCACTTTTCTGCTTATTAAAAGAAGGAAATTTCTAGCAGTTTTCCTTTTGCTTATTTTTTCTCCTTTCTTAAACTTAAGAAAAAAGTATAGGATCATAGATCTAGAATTAGAAGGGACCTTTTAGACTATCTAATCCAACTTCTTCATTTTACAAATGAGGAAACTGAGGCCCAAAGGGGACTTGCCCAAGGTTACACTACAAATGTCGAAGGTAGGATTTGAATTGTAGAGACATTACTATTATACCATCTTACTTTTAAAGTATAATTTCCTACTTCTTCAGTTCACCAGGCTAAGGCAAATTATTTAATATAATGTTTATTACTTATAATTTTGTTATACATTGTAATGTACAGATTTATATTAATGATAGTTTCAGTCTTTTTCACTGTGATGAAATATTGAATATACTCAGCCACCTAGAAAAAGAAAAATATCCATATTACCCTAACTTCTGGTTTGACTGAAGAGACAGCTATATATTCATTTATTTTTTAAGACTTAAAGGATTATTTTGTTATGTTCTATGTTCTAGAGTCTAGCTATTTATTTAAGATTTGATTGAACCTGGTTGGAATACAGAAAAGTTGCCATTTCCAGGTACCATATTTAGGAATAAGCTTAGGAAAAATTTAATAGTTTTGTTCTAAAATTTTCTCATCTTTTGCTCTTCTTTATTCTAATTAAATATAATCATTTCTTATTGAGAAGTAGTAGTCTATTGATATACATATAGATAACTGAAAATTATTGCCCAGAAGCATAGGAATAGATAGACTGAGTTATTTTGTTGAACTGTCTCTGAAATAGAAGCATAAAAGATTTTGTAATTTCCCTTCTCATCCCCATCGATTCTAAATAGTGTTTCTCGGGTTGTACGAACAAAAAAAATAGGCAAGCATATTAGCTCTTTCTGTCCTTCATCATTTCCTCAAATGACTTTATGCAGCTTTTTAAAAAGGCCATAGATTTCCTCTTATGTCATGTAATTCAGAGTCTCAAAGTGCCAAAATGTATGGCATATTGCATGTCAGTTTATTTTGTTTGAAATCTTTGCAATATACTGTTACCCTCATTTTAGATATACTTTACCTAATTAAAATTTTATTTTAAATTTTAGAAATATACTTATCATTACTATTATGAAATTCTTTAATTTTATGAAATTGAAATCTAATGTGTATTTTTCTCCTTCATTAATGAGGCTTTTATTGCTTTTGACCAATAGCAAGACATGCATAGCAAGGAATAGGTAAGACTAGATAACGTTTTTGAATCTTCATAAAAGGAATTATCAGAACAATACATAATTTGTCATTTTAATTTTAGTGTCTCGTGTAGATCTGGCTTCATTTTTAATGGTCTATTATGTATATGTAAATACAAATATATGTTTGTGTTATATTATGCAACAAGTTAAAATTACCATAGCTTTGAGTAGCTTAAAACTGCACTAAGACTTCGGGGGTGTGTGTGTGTGTGTGTGTGTGTGTGTGTGTATTTTTCTGAAATCATCCCTTTCATCCTTTCATTTCATAATGGTATCCTATTAAATTGTTGAAACATTCCCCACTTGATGGACAATCCTAGTTTCAAGTTTTTAATAATATTAAGAGGAAGAAGCACTTGTATAGCACTTAAAGGTTTTCAAAGCACTCTACAAATAATCTCTTTTATTCCTTAAGACAAATCTGTGAGGTTATTATCAAGAATTACTATAAATACTTTTCCCCCCTTACATATGGATCTTTTTCTTCTGTCTTTGTTCTCTTTGGTGTATAGGCCTAATAGTGGTATCACAGAGACAGAAAATAGGTACAGTTTAGTAATTTCGGATAATAGCTCCAAATTGCTTTCCAGAGTAATGATATTAATTCACAGTGTATCCCCTTGAGAAAAGGCTGCTAAGAGCAAAGTTGGAGGTCTTCCATCTGTGCAGGGAGTCTACCACTTCCTGCTTCCTCAGGTAAGATCACTAGTACCTTGAGTCTCCCATTCCCTGCTGGGCACAGTGTGTTCCTGAGGAAAGGCTGCTAGGT